TCTCTACCCAATAACGGTCTGATGTTATCATTTTCAATAACTATAAATTCAATATCGACACTGTTCCCATCCATACTGCACTTCAATTTAATTTTACCTCTGACCTTCAACCAGAAACCACCATACGCCTGAACTTTTATATCATGATTACTTATTTTATTAACATCTATTTTTAATGTATTTACATAATTAAATGGTATAACATTAATATCAGAACCAGAGTCTAATTTAAAACTTATGTTAATATTATTAATACAAATATTTTTTTTCCAAACATTATCATTATTACTGTTGATATTATCAATTAAAAATATTTCATCAATTTTCTTATTACAATAACTGGAATCAGTCTTACCCTTTTTACAGCCAATCTTAAAATGACCCATGACACCACAATTAATGCATTTCTTGTTAAATGCTGGGCACTGCCTTGCCCCATGTTTGTAACCACATTTTTTACAATCATATTCTTTTGCTTTTTGTAGTTGCTTGATCTGATTACTTGTTGATTGTTCATTTTGTTGTTCATAAGCACATTTGAACGTTTTGTTCTTAGTCGAATAATTAAGGTTCTTCAATTTTTCATTTTTGCATTTTACTAGGTCAACAGACTTATAATCATCTTTGTTCATCATTACTTGATTTAGCATTGCTGTTTCAGTTGCTCTACAATGATCAACTATTTTATCAAGAGTCGTGTCAGGTGTTCTCAGCAACCTTTCTTGTAATTTTAAATCACATACTCCAAGGACAACTCTTACTTTTAAAAGATTATCTTCTTGATCACCAAATTCACACTTTTTAGCCATTTTTTTAAGTTCAATGAAGAACTTGTCAAAAGGTTCTCCTTCAGCTTGTTGTCGTTTAAAGAATTTAAACTGTTCAGCTATAATACTTTTTTTTGGCTCAACATACTTTTGAAGCTCATCAAATATTGATTGAACAGTCTCCTGTTTCAAGTCAAACGCTTCAACTACTGAATAAGCTTCTTCATCCAAGCCACTTTTCAAGTGAGCTACTTTCACTTTTTCATTCTTCTTATTAAGTTCATTAGCATCGAGATAATTAAAAAATTGTCTTTTGAAATTATTAAATTCATTATACAACGATTCCGCAGTACCAAAATTTAATTTTGGCAGTTTTACTGAGGCCATTATTTTTATCCGATTTAATCGATAATATATATACTTCTCTTCAGTTGAAGTCAAATCCTATGACTGCGCCATGTTTCGTTGATGATATTTTAATTAATAAAATAAATACAACATTTAATTATATTAGAAAACATTATTTATTATATATAATTACACAACTATATTTTAATAATGTGTGGTTTGCTACTTGCTGTATACATTATATATGTGATATTATCATCTTATGATAACCTTATCAAACATATAGTAATACCCTTGTTGTTGGAAATGTGCATACCTAAGCGTCTGGTTACCCATGATAAATTTCTTAGAATTTATTATGCCATAACGACAGACGTTGTCTTTGTTCTCATAAAATGTAGACGGTAATGTGAGTTATAATATAGTAATACATTTGACGTTTGAAATATGCTGACGTAAGCGTCTGGTTACCAACAATAAAATACTATTTAAAAAATAAATGCATACAACAGTGATTATTACTGTACGGCGAAATCTTTGATGTTTAAAATATGCTTAGCTAAGCGTCTGGTTACCCATGATAAATTTCTTAGAATTTATTATGCCATAACGACAGACGTTGTCTTTGTTCTCATAAAATGTAGACGGTAATGTGAGTTATAATATAGTAATACATTTGACGTTTGAAATATGCTGACGTAAGCGTCTGGTTACCAACAATAAAATACTATGTAAAAAATAAATGCATACAACAGTGATTATTACTGTACGGCGAAATCTTTGATGTTTAAAATATGCTTAGCTAAGCGTCTGGTTACTCATGATAAATTTCTTAGAATTTATTATGCCATAACGACAGACATTGTCTTTGTTCTTATAAAATGTAGACGGTAATGCGGATTATGATATGGCGGTACCTTTGACGTTGGAAATATGCTTAGCTAAGCGTCTGGTTACCCATGATAAAATTCCATAACGACAAACGTTGCCATTGTTCTCATAAAAAAAATTACAGACGCTTATGAGCGATGTAATGTAATGATACCTTTAATGTTTGAAATATGCTTAGCTAAGCGTCTGACACCCGATGATAAGATTCATACGATTTTACTGTACAGTGATCTCTTTGATATTTGAAATATGCTTATCTAACCGTCTGTTAGTCTGGGTTATAATATGGCGGTACCTTTGACGTTGGAAATATGCTTAGCTATGCGTCTGGTAGCCAATAGTAAAATTGTTATAATTTATTTATTATATACATTCTATAGATGTGCGACAAATTAGTATAAGTCTTGTTTCATCACCACCCATTATAGGTTAGTTTAATTCAAGATTCATTACCCCTTCCTATGTAGGAATTGTTAACAGACACCCCTGCGGCGTTAATATTATGCAATTGAATTACACTATTTCAATGTAATGTGTACGCTTATCAGTGAACGTTATCAGTTCACATGAGGTTTACCTTACCCTCCAGTAGATGACATCGTAGGAGGAGACAACCATATAGCTACCTCCCTCACCACTGACATGAAGTTATAGTGCGCATGCGCACTTTAATCCGCCATTTTGATTGAAATTAACATCCCTAACTAAGTCATCTATTACCCCTACCATCGTTAGACCACGCCTCCCCTAACCCCACCCTCATAAGACCACGGTTCCTTTCACTATCTATGATAAGATCACGCCTCCATTACACTATCTATGATAAGACCAAGCCTCCCCTTAACACATCATTGATATGACCACACCTCCCCTTACCCNGTTGATAAGACCACACCTTCTCCTTACCCCCACCATCGAGAAACCACGTTTATTGTTTGACCTTGACCACGGTCATTACCCCACACCATCGTGAGACCACTCCTTCACTTCCCTCCACCATTTATAAGACCACGCCTACCCTTACCCAATCTATGATAAGACCACGCCTACCCTTACCCAATCAATGATAAGACCACGCCTTCTCCTTACACCATCAATGATAAGACCACGCCTTCTCCTTACCCAATCAATGATAAGACCACGCCTTCTCCTTACTCCCACCCTCATGAATGCGATCCTCCATTACCCCCACCATCGAGAGACCACGCCTCTCCTTACCCAATCAATGATAAGACCACGCCTTCTCCTTACCCCCNTCAAAAAATAAATAATATTTAAAAAATAATATAAAAAAAAATTTTATTTATAAAATAATAATGATTACTTAAATTTGCTATTAAAAAAAAATGTATTATTTATTTTAGTACCTTATCCTTTTTATACTTCATTTTTTTAGTACATAAGTCGAAAGCGAATAGTTTAAACAATAAAATACTATGTAAAAATTAAATACATACGACGATGTTTGTTAGTATACAGCGACATCTTTAATGTTGAAAAATATGTTTACCTAAGGGTTTGATGGTTGATGATAAAATTCTTAGAAATTATAGCTTTACATTTAATAATACACAGACAGCGTCACAATTTTTTCCCATAAAATTACAGACGCTATGAGCGTTATATTATAATTATACCTTTGATGTCGGAAATATGCTTTTGGTAGTAGAAGATAAAATTCTTGTTGTTAATTTACGTTTAAATTACGATTTAATTCCCCCCGTACACTTCCTCCACATACACGATGGTGAGTAGGTAACGGGGGGTCCAGCTTTCTCTATTTTACCCTACTGTGGTCTATAACAACTGTTGTACTAGTATTTTGTAATTTATTAAATATTTAAAATTATGACTGGTAATGAAAAGTGGGTGCTCTTTTTTTATAACTACATATTTCCAAGCAGTACTTTTCCTCTTATTAAAATATAAATATTTCAAGAACTTTCGATATACTGGTCTAATAGTTATTATTGACCCGTATTTTTTTTAAGTATATAATTATCAATTAATTTAGCTAACTAATTAGGGTTGTTATCATTATATAAATAAAAGTTTACACACTAAGAAAGTATAAGGGATGAGCATAAATATCTTTATGATAGAAATATTGTAAGAAACATTGAACAAAATAAACAAATAAAAAATCATTAGTTTTATTTTTATTTTTTGATAATTTAAGTGGTTTATGAAAAGTGTATCACTCTGTATATTAAGTTCATTAGTAAAAGTGTGTAGTAATTCAAGTTAGAGAAATTAAAAAAAAATATGTGATACTGAAAATGGTTATGGTATAATTCAATAAGTCAACAAATAATTTACCTTTTTGAAAAAAATCATAGAAAACTGGTGTTGTAGCTGTACTGGGTTTGGATTCATTGTCCGCTGCTAAATATAAGTAA